TTAAAACGAAATCAAGAAAAGGGGTTCGTTCATAATTGATGGGTTAGTTTTGTGGGGGGGGGGGGGGTCTGTTGCTGTGTAATACATCCCTTCAAAACAATCAATTTTAAGATTTTCTACTAAGAAGTGAGTCTAAAAATTCCATATTTATGAAAATTATTAATGAATGACCCCAAAGCAAAAACGAGGATGTAATAATTTTAATTTAAAAAGGAGGTAAAAATCTTCAGCGTGATTTGACAATGGATGGGTGAATTGTTGAGGGCTGTTAAAGTGTTATCATGTTTTTTGGCAGTATAAAGGTTTAAAGTGGTTTTTTTAAGGCACAGCATCAATTTGTTATTATAATCCAAATAATAATATGCGCTTCAGTTCTGCACATCCAAAATTCCCACCCCAACTTCCCAGTGTCTTTTTCAACGCCATTAAAGCTTTTTTGATCTCAATTTTCCCAGAAATTAGGATGATTTAAGAACAGTTTCTTTTTATCTCCCTTTTTAGCTCTTAATTGCTAAGGAACGCTAGTGATGAAAAAAAAATCTAGCCAGTGTAATCAGAGCGTAAATTAATGCGAACACTTTAAAGTATCTTCATTAAAATTTAATTTTTTATTCCACGTTCTCAATTTAATGACAATTATTATCGACCATTTAATTCATTATTTGCAATTATAATGTGGCCAGTGGAAATAAAAAAAGGCGATTAAATCTCTCTCTTGATATTTTAATAAACTCCAACTGCGAATTACTTTCATTTTATTTTAATTATTTTTGAGCCGCAAAACCTCTACGGCATGTTTAAATATTTTAATTCTCATCAGACCTGCTAGTGCGAAAATTTATTCCTCTTCATTCCATCATCGCTTTAAACAAAAAAAAAACAAGTAACTTAAAAAAGGTCCAAAAAAATCCAGAGAATTACATTCTACATAAATTCTATACATTTGAAACCGCACCGAATAAATGCCCGTGTTTTTTGCTTGCTATCGATAAAAAAAATGAAAATTCTTTTCATGTTGGCTATCCCAAATAGTATGCTACACACCAATTAATAAAATTTTTTTTTTTTTTTGAGGACTAAAATCCATTGCCTCGGGAATATCATTCATAACAGGATATCTAGTCAAGTTTAATTCAACTGATATGGATGATAGAGTTTTGAATTAATGTAGATTAAATTTGTTTGGGGGGGAAAGGTTATTTATGGACAGGGTTGCAAAAACATATTATGTTTTACAGAATATGCGCATATATGTGACACATTTTACATGTTCACACATTTTTTTCTGCGATATGTCAAACATATTTCCTGTCAAACATATTCATGTGTCACATATTTTTCCTGTCACATAATATGTTTTTCAAACATAATTAATTTTGGACCTTAAGAATCCTTTCCTGTTGGTAAAAAATGAGTAGAAAAAAATTGGAATATGCTTAGAGTCAAATTTGATAGGAAATTAATTTTTGGACCTTTTTAATCTAATTTGGATTCCAAAAAAAACGGGAAAAACATATTTTATGTTAGAAAAACATAATATGTGACACATAAAATATGTGTCAGGAAAAATATGTTGACACATGAATATCCAACGACTGCAAACAAAGAAAACTTCAGTTAGATTCGAAAAATTCAAACTGAAATTCGATTTATTTATTTTAGTTATTTTTTGAAGCAAAATTATTCCTTTTATGTACCAATCGACTTTGAAATTGTAATTTTACTCTAAATTCAACAAAAACTTTTAATAATTTATCAATTGTATCTTGACAATGTTCAAAATCGACTTCAATTTGTGCAATTACTGTATTGATGTATTTCTGGTTAAAGGAAGGATCAGACCATAAGGTAAAACCAATAAGCTGTCTATAAATAAATTCAAGAATACACAAGAAATATTTTTTTTTCACAGCAATATTCAATGTTATGCAATTTAAGAAATTCAATCCACTTATCTTTATGCACAGAGCTTTTTGGAAGTTAAAACAAACGTATTTTATTGGTTTTCTTTCCTTTACAACCAGTAATTACACAATTTCTGACCATTTTAAAAAAATTAAATTTTATAAATTCAATAAAGACTAAGAAATGTAAACAAATATTTTCAACGGAAATTTTAAATTCAAATCAAGTTCGAAAATGAAGTACCTATTTCCGAAAATGAGTTCTTGTTTGCAGTCGTTGGATGAATATGTTTGACATATCGCAGAAAAAAATGTGTTACATAATTTCATGTGTCGCAGGAAATATTTTTTTGACATGTCGTCACATATTGCAACCCTGTTTATGGAATATAAAGTTTGATAGGTATCTGCTATGAGATGAGAGGCGGCTGGATAAATTTTTAAAACTTTAAATTCTAGATTTATTAACTTGATTGACTTCAGTGGCATAATCCTGACTCTCAAAACCAAACTCATCAAATCCACGAAAAAGAAGCAAAGCAATCAAAAACTTCTTTGATCATATCAGGTGTCAGTGCAGACATCCCATATGTTAGCGGAAAATGAAAGCGATAAAACCATCACTGCAAGACTAACAGCAGGATATGATATGATACACGAGCAGACCAATAAGAATAATGACCTTCGAACTACAGCCTCAAAAAAAAAAATTCTTCTTATTATTTCTATTGATTTTACTTTTTTCCTTAAAGCATTTCTATGTCTTGTTTTTATTCCGCTTTATCGTTTTTCGTTGGTAATGACCTCTTAACTTGTCATTGCACATAAATCACCGTTGCGACTGACAGCTGTATAATAAATTACGCATCTCATTCGTAATGACCTGCTCGTGAGAATCTGAAAGTTACATGATTTGATGTCAAAGAGTTGATGATTTCCATAGCTTCTAATGACCGAGCGGAGCTTAAAATCCCATTTTAGGTTGTCAAAAAATGCACAAAAAAAGTAAATTGTGTGATTTATCTGTCTCGTGCACAGTAATTGATTTAAGCTTGAAATGATCAAATTGAAAATGTCAAATATATCGTATCCTGCATTTTGTGATGGGCGGATTTGATTTAAATCCCCTCAAAATATCCCATTCAATTGAGAAAAAAAAACTCAATTAAGCACGACCTCGCATATAAATATACGAATTATTCATTATTAACAAACAGTCCCGACTCATAACGATGCAACTGAGCACGAAAAATATGGCAAGTTTGTATGCACGTAATCAAATTACATGATACTGACTTCCTTTTAAATTGTGATCCTATAAATTAGCACTTTATATTCTTTAATCAAAATTTATATGCAAATTACGCAATTTCAATCTCAACTGTTTTGCACAAGTCCTGTGTCATGCACACAAAATGAGCCATTATGAGAGCAATAATAAATTTCAGCCTGAAAAATGTTATTTTTGATCTCCATTAAGTTTTTATGTCATGGTTTGCCAATGAATTGTGAATGTGCATTTTGGAGTGGGATGAACTGGAGTATTTTCTTTGTAAATCCCTTCATTCAAGAGAGCAGAAGTTATTTTAAAGTCTCCAAGTCAATAATCTGGATTATCTGATGATATTTTCATTCAAAAGTGTGGTTTGTTCACTTTTACAAATGCTGGATTCAAATGTGGGATTATTTTATGTATTTATGGATTAGTGAGTACTTACTTGAATGCTTTGATGCTGCCAAGTCGATAATTGATGGAAAAATGAACGATTCTTTTTAAATTTCATGAAAAAGGGGTTTAAAACTAAGAATTCACCATTCTGATAGATTACTAAGAATTCAAATTCAAAAAAAACTGTTACAAAACCGTTATTTCAAATCTAAACTGCATAAATTCAATTAAATTAAGCTCTCTTATATTCCTGATGACATTTCCCTGCAAACTATAACTTCTCATGACAACATGACCTCAATATCTCAAAACCACATAAGCCTTATAGCTACACTCTATATGCAGGTGGCATCATTTTCAATTTCCTTCAATTATAATGTTGCATCTATTGGCAGACCACGTTTTGTGGCTTCCTCTTCTCAAATTGCTGTTTTCCGTATGGTTTTAGATCTAGCCTTTCACTGCCTACACAAGTATTTAAGTGCTACCTCACACCAAACAGTATCTTTTCTTGGGAAAAAAGGATAAATTTAGTCAATAATTTATTGCAATTGGCTACTAAAGGGGATATATCCTTTTAAATCACATATACACACACTTTCTAACTCAATTCAGTTATGTGCAAAATAAATTGGGTATCTATACATTTTTTGGGGATATTTTTATGGGAGATTAAATTCATGAAAAACTTTTTATTGTCTTTATTGCTACAGTTTTTTGATTAAAAAAGTCATTTATTTACTACAGATTACAAATATTGAAATTTTCACATGAATAATTTACTACTTTGCTCCGAGAAGCACATAGCAAGCATATTAATCTTGTATCCTTTGTTGGCACGTGGCAAACACACAACAAGAAAATGTTTCATGTCACATGTATGTTGCATGTCATTTGTACATTTAGACCACTATGCAACTGTCGCGTGACACTAATATGTCGCTCGGATTCAATTAAATGCAACACTTTTTGATCTTCAAATTTAAAATTCAATTACTACATACAATGTAGATTGAAGCTCTTTGATAAAACTGACTTGTCTAAAAATCAATTAAAATTCCATTAAATTTCCTTTTGATACAATAAATATTTACAGATTGTTGTTTATTGATGTTGTTCATGTGGTGTGTGATCTAGTTAAAAAAAGCCGTTACATGAAAATTTTGAAAATAAAGTTGACAATCCCCTGATTGAGTGCGTTCGAAATTTCAAATTTAATATCAAAATACAGTTTGGTCAATATTTTGCACAAATTAGCTGCAAATAAGCTTAATTAAATCACAAACAACAGTCAATCATAGTCAAATGAAACCAGTGAATTTCCAATAAGCGCAATCTGTGCATAGAAATAGATAAATATCCACAAAAAACTGAAAATCAGCAATAACGTGAAATAAACAACGGAAAAAATCATAAATAATTGAGGAATGTCGACAATAGAAGAGCGTATGTCCAACAGCATTGTGTACAATCTACAGATTTTATCGTATGTCATCGAACCTAATCCTCAGCTAGAAGAGTTCCTCACAGATGTAAGATTTATTACTGATTTTTGATATTTGTGTGCCTTACTGGATCTTTTTGTGAATTTTTGCAGGGATTGTTCATGAAAACAAATACACAGGCATTCATTCAAGTCACATACTATCTATTCAACATCCTGGATCAAAAGGAATTCAGAAAGAAATTTTACTGGCCGATTATTGACAAGAAAAGTGAAAATTCTTATCGGTAAGTTTGAATGTTGACTTTTGATGCTGTTCTGTTGGAACTAGATTGCTCTATGGACTGTTTTAATTATAAACCGGTGTGGTATTTATGGATATGTGAATCTTAATCACTTGATCCAGTTTAAACGCAAAGATCCCGTATAAATCAACTTTTGGACAAGTTAACTAATATCCCTTCCCTATCCACAGAACATGCTCCGTAGAGTTTATAAACAACCTCATCGACAAATACAGCCTTAAACAAGAGAAGATTAAGCATGTGTCAGTCGTGCATCCAAGTGGAAAGAAATTTATGAGTCTCATTCTGGATCTCATCATTACAGCAATAAAGGAAGTGATGAAGCGCAAGAATTACAGTACCGATGTATCGTTAGATCTCGAAAAGGCAGAAGAAGTCGTCAGTACAATGTGTGAGATTGAAACGGAACTAGAAAGCATCATAAAGATTGAATTGAAGCCACTCAGAGAAAAAACAGTTGAAATTCAAGAATTAATTAATTCAATTTATCCAATCGATAGTCCGATTCCATTTGAGGAATTTATTACTAATTGGAACTCAATAAATAAGCAAAGGCTTGCTAAAATTAAGGAACAAAAGGCAAAGATCAAGGAAATTTATAAAAGAGCCGATTTATTGCAGCAAAAAGGTCATGAAATGTTAAGGAACAAGGAGCACAAAATCATAAAGCCAACAGATAATGAGATTAAGGAACTAGCTGATTTCTATCAAAATATTGAATTGCCAATAGATAAAGAACTGAATATTGTTTCATTGATTCTACATCTCGAATCATCGTTGTCTGTTATACAAAACTACATTCAGAACTTTTCGTACGATGAAGTTGAGATTAGTGACGAGGAAATGAGGATTGTAAAGCGGAAGCTTGAAGAATTGAAGCAATTTGAACCTTTAATGCAGAAATTATCTGAAAAACAACAGCAGTTGAAAGAAAAAGTCATGGAACGCGATGTGGACGAAGAAGATGTACAGGATGATGAGCTATTCGATGAAGCACAAGGGAAGGAAGTAATGCGGACAATTGCATCCCCAAGGCTATGTTTTGAAACAGCTAAAAGCAGCATAAATAAAGTTCTTAAAATACACAAACTAGCTTTTGGTGAAAATGAAGGAACTACTTCTAGTGCTGATCACTCAATGATGCAATCTAGACTTTATCGTCCATTAAGTGACACAAGCTTGAATAGAAGTAAGGAAATGGGACCGCCAAAAGCTAGGGATTTACCTTCAAGACGTCGCAAACGAGATCCAATGGCAATTTTAGACAAAGCATTAGCACGGTCTAGGAGTAAGCAAGATTTAAATTCTACAGCCGTTAATACAGGTGTCAATCCTACATTAGTAGCATCAACTCCATTTTCCAGCACCATGCTGTCACCTGATCTCATTAATCATGCAAACTTCTCGATGATTTCTAATATTTCAACAGTCACACAAACTCCCCATATTCCTAATAAAGGTAATAACGTATTTGCCCAATTCATGAATGTTCAGCAAAATGTTCAGTTCCATGCAATACCTAAGCCTGATGTGCTGTTAATGGACCAAATTCCTTGGAATGATGAAATTAAAATGAAAAATTTACAAAAATCACCAATTACTAAAGCTGATCCAATTGTGTCGCTGGAAGAAGCATTTGGACGTAAAATGACACTTGTTGAGATTGATCAGAATGTCGCTGGTCCATCAACAATGCCAAAAATAGCTGTAAATGATGAAACTTTATGTGCTGGAAGTTCAATGAATGAATTCTCGTCATCCAGTGATATTACAGTCTGTGAAAAGGAGAATTTTGGAAGTGAATTAGAAACCTTTATGTTTACAAAGCAGGCATGCGAGGAAGACTTGTTTAATGTCTCTGATTCTATTTTAGTCGATGATTAACGGTCAGAAAAAATTTAAATTTTTGAAAAAAAAAATACAGAATAAAATTATTTTTAAGTTTTTTGATTAATTAAAGCATAATAAGCTGTACTGCCTTTATCATACACTATAAATATTCAAAAACTATTAATTATTATATGATAAGTTATATAAATTCTCATATTTTTGAGAATTTCACGATATAAATAAATATTTGCAAGCTTTGTCATTTTTGCTCCACAAATTTTAATTATTTTGAGCCTTAATCGAGTGTATTTAAGGATTTAAATAGTGTAATTAAGTGAATAAAGTAAAGATAAACAGTTTGGACATAAAGGTTAAGGAATATGGAGCAGTTTGCACCAAGAAAAACAATTTTAGTCTCAAAACCAAACATTTCATATCCCGCTTGTTGGTTTCACATTCCGGATGAGGTAAAAACACAATAGTAAGCATCTTATTCTGCATATCTAACAATATACATACTTTATTCATAGAATGAAGCAGTTGAAGCATCAAATATTCCAGCATATGACCTCGAGCAGTCCAAAAATGGCATGGAAAGAACATTTCAACTAACAACTGTCCTCAAAAACAGCAATCCAGAGGATGACGATTGGGAATCAAAGATCCTTAAGTACGGCTGGACAACAAAACAAACGAAACTATTTAATAAAGTCGTTCAGATTCTTGATTTTGATCATTTAGCAAGATTAGCAAATGTTGATGGAAAAAGACATGAAGTTGTTCAAGTCAGAACAACAATAGACAAGTCTGCAGACCGTATGAGACATGCACTGGCTGAAGTCAGTTGGGATACAGTCATTATTCAATGGATTCATGCTATATTAATGGAATATTTGCCGCCATCATATTTAGCTTCTTATTTAGACATAATGCAGACTTTAAAGCACAAAGTTCCGTCATTAGTCGATCGAATGATATTCTGGAAACCTGGAAATGTCAGTCAAGATTTGTTGGGATTAATTTTAAAGCGTCCATGGCAACCAGTGTTGAGTAATAAGGTAAAGGAACTAGAATTTTATTTATTTGAATGCCTGGTTTAATTTATGTCCAATTTTAGTACCGAAAGATTCCTGGGAGTGCAATATTAGTCGTAATACCACCATTGCCACGCATATCATCACAACCAGCAAGAGTCCAGCGACTTTATACACTTTTTACAACAATGGCACCAATTTTACCTGTTCAACTTCAAATAAATCATCTTATGGCACAAAAGCAAAGCCTTCAATCGATTGCAGAACAGCTTGTGTCATTAACACGAACTAAGATTCAAGAATTAAAAGCTGAGAATCAAGATCGTCGTATTATTCTCGTTGGAATGCATGCATCATCAGCTTTAGCGCTTCAAGTCTCATTAGTTGAACAAGTTTCAGGAATTGTATGCTTTGGATTCTCATGTAATACAGTTCATGGTCCGAGAGGACATCCAGATGATCACATCCTCAATTTGACAACCCCAATAATGTTCATGATTGGCCAAAATGCAGCCAGAACTAGTGAAGAGGAAATTGAGCAATTTAGGGAAAAAATGACAGCACCATCAACATTATTAACAGTCGGAAGTGCTGATGATTATTTGAGAGTAAGTAAGAAGAAGAGAAAGCTTGAAGGAGTCACACAGGAAATGGTCGATAACATGATTGTCGATGAAATTGCTGAATTTGCTACAAAATGCATTCAACGTCCACTTCCTCAAAAGCCAAAATCAATTGCAACATTCGGTAATGTTACAATTCATCGGCAAATTGACTCATCTACAGGACAAATGAGAAAGAGGAAATCAAGTCAGATAGTCGATGCTGACGGAACCATTAAATTGGCTAAAATGAAACCAGTCAAAATGATGAAACCGTCATCGACTACAAATTTCAATAATTCTGATGCTGTTGAAATGGCTGTGCAAAGTATTTTACCTGATTCTGATGGTAGACCAGTTGCTAAGCCTGTAATACAAAGAGCATCAATTGGAACTGGCGTCGCTCAAAGATTAAAAATTGTTCCACAAAATCAATTTACGACTCTGAAGCCTCAATCGACAACCACACAGAAATATTATACAATAGAAAGTAAGTCAACAGGACAAAAGAACTATATAGCTGTTGCTCAACGTGCTCCAAACCGTTCACAGCCATCTACACCTGGAAATTCAAGACCAGCAACTCCACAAACTCAATATGTTACAAATGCTCGAATCTCAAGTGTTGGGAAGCTTCCAATCATGCACAATCAGACGAGCTTTAGTCCACCAAAGTTCACAATTGTAAGACAAGGATCTTCAGCACCAAATACATCATTTACTGCTGATACAGAATTGTCAGGAACGAATATTTTCGACATGCCTGTTGTCTTTGCAGACAGTGAAGGAAATATCGATGAAGATTCATCAAATATTTCGGATAATTCAGTCATTGAAATTCCTAGTGATCATTCGACAGGTGCAACAACAAAGAAAGTCATCCTTAAAGCATCAAATATTGGCACTTACGTAAATGCAGCACCAACACAAACTGTAACAATCACAAAGAATAAGAATATCTTGATCCAGAAGCCATCCGTTCCTAGTAAGATGCTCGTCCTTAATGGAAATGTTATTGGACGTTCGATTCCGGCATCAAATATTGTCTTACCAAAGTCATCGATTCAGCCACAGCCAATTAAGATTCAAAAAATTGTTACAACTGGAAGTTCTGTGATTCCAACGACAAACATTGATATGAAGAATAGGCAGCAAATTTCGAGCAATAAGAAGATTGAGATTCTAAATAATCAGATAATTAAGCCTGCAATGACAGTCACAACAGCATCGACAGTTCCGAAAAGTGTTGGATTTGTTAATTTAGCTGATGCGAAACCAATTTCAGCTAATCGATTATCGATTCCATTCTCGACAGTTAAAGGAAGTCAAGGGCAACAAATTGTGATTAAAACTGCAAATTTGAAGCAGTTTACATTGAGTGGACATAAGCAGCTCGGAAATTTGACTGTTAAGAAAGTGAATGTAGTTCCAAGCACAGCAACAACAATTGCAAGTAGTGATCAGCCACAGCAGCCAAAAATTATTTTCAAAAATGCTTAAATTGGATTATTATAAAGATGATAATAAGGAAGAAAATCGTGGTTTATAGATTTTTAAGATTGAAAGCTAGTTAAACAGATAATAAAAAGTCAGAGGAATTAAAAGTTATTCAAAATATATAAAAGAATCTTAATGCTTGAAAAATTAAATTTGTAGCAGTTCTTTTAGATTTGAATTCAAACTAAGGCGAATTCGTAGCTGTCTTCCCTTTTGTGGAAGCAAATTCGTAGTTTTAAACCCTTTTCATAAAGAAAATGGCGTTCTTTGTTATTTTTGCAGAAATCTTAATTTTCAGTGAATCTGTTTAGGGGCTGTTCGCTTATGACGTCTAGGGGGGGGGGGGGGGTGGCAAGAAAGAAAAGAACAATAGAAATTCCTAGAAATGCATTGTTCTTTTTTGAAAAATGACCGTTAATTTCGGACGTCGTAATTGAACGACCCCTTAAGTATTCAAAAATAGATCTGACTTTTACATTTTCAAGTAGTTCCCGTTAATCCTTGTTCCAAAATAACAATTCTCAGTAAGATAAAAGCTACTTGGAGTCAAAAAACAATAAATCAGAAGAAAACTTTATTACCAATTTTATTGCTTCAGTAGCTGCTGCATTATTAAGATAACAAAACCTGTTGAAGCTAAAATTTTCAATTGAATTTGTAATTTTCTTGCAAAACCAAAGAAATATTTTTAGAAAATTTTATGATCGAAGCGTTGGATTGATAACTTTAATCTATGGCTTGTAAAGTTTTAAGGACCATTTTAAACTTTATTGAGGTTTTTGGGTCTGTAAATTTTTTTTATATTCTTCCTGAATTAGCACAAAATTGGAAGAGGATTGTCAGAAAAAGGTCTTATATTGCTGTTAAGTAGATTCAGGAAGATATCAGAGTACCGCTCTAGAATTAGGCCAATTTCAATAACTAGAACATTGATGAGTTTAAACTTAAAAGCTAGTCGTTATGAATTAAGTCTTGTTCAAAATAAACTTCGTGATTTTCAGAGGAATTGATCAGAAGAACTTGTATTTTAGATCAAAGAGTAAAGCATTTAAGTGCCTTGCTGGTCGAATAGGTAAGGCGCTTGGCTCAAATTTGAGATGGTAACTCGAAGGTCGTCGGTTCGAATCCAGCCATTTCCAAATTTGTTCTTTTTCAGAAGTTTAGATACTTCGACTGCTTAATGTACGAGATCAAGCCATAATTGGGCATTTTGGGCAACGTTGGATTAAGGAACGGGTCAGGAACTTGAAGTGTAGCGGGAGAAAAAGGAACGAGAGCTACAAGATTACCTTATAATGGAATATTGTCAGAACGGACGTGAAATGTATCACGTCACGCCCACAGAAGATTGAAACGAGAGCCTGAATTCAATCGAAACCTAGATTTGAAGATTAGAAGCTTGATTCTACGTCATCCATAGTGATATGAAATGTATCACTAATCAATGTAAAAAGTAAAACATGTATGAATACTAATTCTTCCGGACGGTAACGTCGACAAATAAATAATAATAATAAAATTAACAAATGAACCAAAATCACCAAAATTTTTGCGCAGTCAGTCACTCCTATCGTATTTTGATTACCCTAATAACAATAATCTTATCAATTGTGTTCAATTATCTCTTCTGTTGTCTATTGTGGATTGACATTAATGTACAAGCTATTTATTAGTATAATTTTAAACATTCAAAGTCAAAGACATGACTTTTACACTACCAAAAAAATTTCTGTGCTGTCTGCCACTTGAAACTGGATCTTTTATAATTGGTGGATTTAGCATAGCTGTTGGAATATTGTGCTTAAATTTCTTTATTGTAGCTGTTCCTTATGCAGGAGTGAATATACACGATAAATTATTATTGACAGGTAAGCTTTTAAGTTGAGTAGCTTCTACTCACGATGTCTTGTTTGAACAACTAATTGCTTGGTTTTGAACAGGACTTTCTAGCATTTTTCTAGGTTTCTTTTGTTTATGAACAGTTTTAGCTCAGTTTAATGTTCAAAAATTTCAAAATTATCTAAATTTTATCTTTTATAGAATATATTGTAAATCGTTTGTTGTACTTCTTCTGAGGTATAAGTTCTTAAATTTTGATTCTCATTGGAAGGATCCAAACAAATCATATACTTATCTTGAATCGTTTCAATCAATTCCTAATCTCTTCTGATTTATTTGACAATATGATTATACATTCTTTTACAGCTTACTACTTCTTTGTGATAATAGCACATATATTCTGTGTCTCTCTGATCATTAGTGGATACTTCCTTATACTAGGAGTTTATGAGGTAAAACAATCAATCAAATAATCATAAAAATTCTTAATCTTGAACCAATTCATATTTGATTTCTAGCTAAATCACAGAAGGATGATTCCTCTTATGATGACATTCATAGCTCAGCCATTTATGGGAATTGTGATTTTTGTTTTATATTTTGAATCTGCTTACATTCATAGTCACATTGCAGTGTTCTATATCTACACAATTTTCACGTTTCTCACAGCTTATTTCTTACTTTGTATTAAGAGTCTTTATGAAGTTATCAGGAGTCGAGGGGAGAAACCAATAGCACAAAGATTGCCTTCACAAGGAGTGTAGTATTAGATTTATATCAAAATGAGAATTTATACGAAATTTGTAATAAAATTACTCTAAGGAAGTTTAATAAAATTGTGATTAAGATGCTTATGATATTAAGTTCAATCTTTGTAACTGATTGAGGTTTGATCAACTCTTTCTAATCTAAAACGAATCTATTGAGCCTTCTTTAATTGCCCATTTGAGGCCTTATACAATTTAGCTCTTTTGAATTTAAGCTCCTTTTACTTTTGAAAGCTTTCAAATCAATCAAAAGCAAATTTTAAAGCTTTCTCAAATATTTCATTAATGTGTCTTAGATTTAAAAACTTTGCTTTTGAAATTTGTTTTAATTCCGCAGTTAATTTAATTAATTGCCGCATGGCATTTAATCTTATCAATAGACAACCTCTTAATGAATCATTTTTTATTAATTTCTCGAATAAATTTTATTAATTTAAACAGTGCTTAAAGAAAATTTTAAAGATTAAGTCATGAATTTGTGCTCAAGAAATGTTTTATTGACAGGATGTTTCAATAAAAAATTCATAGGAGATCAAGATTCTTCAAATGTGGATGAGCCATTTGTGGAACATATAAGACATGCTTCATTAATTGTTTTTATTGTTTGATTTCAGATCACTTTTCCTTTCTTTTTGCTTGCCGTACAAGTTTCAAAAATTTTCATCAAAGAACAGAATAAGAAAAAATTAACTAAAGACCCGGAAAAAGAATTTAAGATTAACAAAATTGTGACAAGCTACAAACCTGAAAACTTTGATTCCACTTTAAAAAGATGAGCTTTTGACTGCTATAAACACCGGCCGAGCTTAATTCTAGAATTCAAGCTTGAATTTTTCTTCGTAAAACTTGTTTTTTTTTTTTCAATTTCGCCACAAACTTAATAACTTCTAAAAGGCATTTAATCTTATCAATAAAAATAACATTCTATGAATCATTATTTATAAACTTTATCGAACAATGCTTTATTAATCGAGTCAGTATTTTCAAAAAGTTGATAAGAACAAGACATGCGTTTGTGGTTGCAAAAGACATCAATCATAGGATGCTTTGTGTTTGGAGCATTTTATTTTGTAGCAAGTCCAATATTTCTGTATTTTATATATCAAACACTTCCTCATAAACTTGCTGATCCAAGTTTTGAATTTACAGCAAGTAAGAATCTTTGAAATAAAGTTATTTAAGATTTTTACTGGAACTCGTTGTTGAATTAAGTTATTTTCAATCCAATCCAATTCAGAAAGATTTCTTACAATCATTTAAAACATTTACAATTGCAGGATATTCTTCTAATCTGACAGTTCTACTATTATTTTTCATTGGGCTTTCGTTTTCCGGTATTTTAATGATGATTGCAATTATTTGGGTAACTTTTTAATTATTTTATGGATAATCATCAATGAGAATAATCAATTTTACTTTATTTGATTAGAAAAATAGAATTTTGATGGCTCCTTTGATGATTGGATCGATTATGAATGGTTCAATGATCTATGTTTACAACAAGCTCCTTCAACTTGCGTCAGAACCAACTCAAAATTCTCAAGAAGTGATAAACATTAAAGATGCTTTAATTATTTTAGTTTTGCTAGTGATTCCATTTTATTTTTGTGCTTTAAATGTTTGTAATATTTTTGATGATGAAGAATTTGGAGAATGGGTGATCAGGGATGGAAGACTTGAGTTGAGAAACAGGCCTAAACGAGTAAGAATAGTTTATGGTACTAATGTTGGAACCTATGATGATCATTAAAGAAAATTTACTTTTCATCACACACAAAACACATACATATAGCTATTTATACTAGTAATTAAGTGAAATCTTATTACATATCAAACAATAAATATAAACTGAATATCTTTTTAATATCATTGAAAACATTCAAAGTTTAAGACATGACTTGTTCAACGAGATCTAAATTTTTGTTGTGTTTTCCATTACTTACAGGATGTTCTATAATTGGAGCTATTTGCTCATTGACTGGAATATTTCTGCTTTTCCACATATTTGTGATTCTTCCAATTCAAAGACTTGCTTTTTTAAAACCATTTTATTTCTTTAGTAAATCAAAATTAAAATGTAAATTTATGAAAAAGTCATTGAGTGATCAACAACCTTAACGATTTACTACGTTGAACTTATTTGTGCAGGATTTTTATCAATTTAAGGTGCCTATAAGGTAAAACTTGTTTGAAAGTCAATCTTTCTGATTATCAATTAAAATTGCTGTTTACAGAGAAAACATAAGAAATTGATACCTTTGTTAGCAACCTTAATTGCTCATCCATTTATGATACTTTCTTTATAAAGAAGTGTATGTTACTGATTGGCATGAATATCACTATACTCACTTTGAATAAACAGGACCTTCGTTTTTTGAAACAAATGGCACTTACATTTTTAATGGTGGATAAGTTATTTTTACATATTTTGCTTTCTGCATCTTTATTGGAATTGAAATGATTGAAAATGAGAAAAATTATAAAACTTTGAAAATATTAGATTTTAAAATTGTTGAGTTTTCATCATTTTTTAATACTATAACATTAGAATCGGGAGGATTGATAATTGGAACTCTTTCAATTCTTCTTTTCGTTTCTATAATTGCTACACTTCAGAGCTTCGGTCCGTTTAACGATGACTACATTGTAATAAGTATGAGGAGTTACTTCAATGTTATTGAAAAAAATTATAAACTGAATTTTATCATATTTTTCGATTAAAGTAGTGTATTACATCATTTTGACGATTGTTTGCACCTTTTTGATAGCACTTGTCGTTGGAGGGTTTTGGATGATACTAGTTGTATATAAAGTAAGTTCGATTTATAACACTATGGCTTTTTTGGAAATTTCATAAAAATCATGAAATAAAGTTTGTAAATTTGTTTTAAATTTCAGAAAAATCGTGAAATGATGAAGCCTTTAATGATAGTTCAATCGATTCAGCCAGTTATGATTTATTTATTTTATGTGATGTTTATTCTGCAATATGTATTAGAAGTTTACGCAAAATTATTAAAACTAGGATGATCAGGTACGCACCCTTTCCATCATACCACTTTTGATTGCTTTTGATAATGAAAAATTGACGAAATTAAAATTATTAACCTTAAATCAAAATGTTAATTGTGAAGTAAATTAATCTTATCAGATATCCGTTTAACGAAAGCTAATATTCAATTGGCCTTTCTTTTCAGTCTTTTAGCAAACATTCAAAATAGAAGACATGACTTGTTCATTTAAAAAGAATTTTTTATGTTGTTTTCCATTGTTGTCTGGATGCTTAGTAATTGGGATAATTTCGTCTTTAGCAGGAACATTTCTATTAATTTATACATTAGCGACGATTCCAGTTCAAAGACTTTCTAGCCTAAAAACATATTATTACTTTAGTAAGATCAAATAATCGTGTTAATTTATTAAAAAGTTATTAAAATTGATCTTATTATTCTAGAGTATGTTTTTTTCTTGACAATTCTGGCGGTTTATTATGTTGCACTCATTTATGCAGGAATTTCAGCAATGTATGGAGTAGTTAAGGTAAGTTAATCATGTCTTGTGTTTGTCCATCAACTCTATGTCTTTGTTTTTTTTACAGAGACTACCAAAAAAACTACTCCCGTTGTTTTTAGCCATGATTACTCATCCATTCATGGTCATTTCCTACAACAACGTTTACGCAACTGACTGGAATGGAGATCATTACAACGGTTTTCAATACTCAGGAACTCCATTTTTTGAAAGAAATGGCGTTTACATTTTTATAATTGGACTAGTTTTTGCTGCATATTCAGCTTTTTGCATCTACAATTCGATTAAAATGATTGAGGATAATCAAATTGATAAAAAGCCTTCGGTCTTTAAATTTAAAATTTTAGAATTTTCAACATTTTTTGGAATAATGCCATTGAAGTCTGGAGGATTAATAATTGGTACTGCATCTATTATTCTTGGAATATATTTCTTCAGTTCTATGATTGTTTCAATTCCATTTGAGATGCTTTCTATTCAGGATACTTTCTTTTTAACAAGTTTGTAAAATACTTTAAAGTTTTAAAGTTCATTTTTTAAGGTTTTCTTTTAAAATTTTACAGTGTATTATGGTTCACTAGCTTTTGATTGCATTTTCCATGTTGCACTCGTGATTGGAGGAATTTTGATGATTCGAGGAGTACTTCAGGTAAATGTTATTTAAAATAGACTGATCCAAAAATATCTGAATCTGAATTTACGAATCTATTTTTACAAAATTTTATCAAAATTCTTTGGTTTTAAATTTCAGAAAAATTATGAAAATATGAAGCCTTTGATGATAATTCTCTTTATCCAACCTGCCATGATTTACTTCTTCTTTCAAGTTTACAACACAAATAACTCAATAGCCATCCCTGTAGTAATATCATATATTACTTTAACAATTCTTGGTGTATATTCAGCATTTTGCATTAAAAATTTACGTAAAATAATTAAAAATGAATCGCTGATTATTGACGAGAGTTTAAATGCAAAATCTTAAATTGTATTAATTTGTTCAAATTGATAAAGTTAAGTCAAGCTTTTTAAATAATTCAATAAAACTTTGATAAACAAATTGTGATTTTTTATTTTATTTTCCAGGAAAAACTTCAAACTTGATAAAAACCAGATTTCACGTTTATTTCCTGCTACTTAAATTGAGGCTTGCCAATCTTATATATTTAAATGAATAATTAAGTGATGATGGATTTTGACCCTTTAACTTCAATGATGTGACTTAATTCATAATATTTAGAACCTTAGTCAAATGTTTTGATGACAAATACGCCTTAATCAATTTGATAATTCTCTTATCATTTGCAAAATATCTCAAAACATCACTAGTCACGGTTGAAGACAGAATGTCTCAATTTTTTTAAGCAGGTAATTTTCAATTTAATTGGAAATAGTAATATCCGATCAGCAAATAAAATGTATGTTTAAGAAATTCTGTTCACTAGAATTTCAAATTCTCAATTAAGAACTTTGTACAAAACTCCAAAGAAAATGCGCCTTAAACTGATCATAAAACGCAACGTTCAATAGAGAATTTATCAATAAAACATACTTTTTCAGTATTTTTGTAAACTTTGAAAAAGATAGACATGACTTGCTCACTAAGAAGTAAAATTTTGTGCTGTATTCCTTTACTGACTGGATGTTCTGTTATTGGAGCAATTTGTTCATTGACTGGATTATCCTTGTTATTTTATACACTCTTCACACTTCCAATAAAAAGTATTTATACTTTAAAACCTTTTTATTATACAAGTAAGTTGATGTGCTACTCAAAAATTTGAATCTTAGCCAATTATGTTTAAATCCAAGCAAAGATCTAAATACAACTTAAACCAAACAGATTCTAGTTCTAGAAACTACTTTTGGTTGTCTAGTTACGACAGATTCTAGAACAGTTTGGTTATCTGAATGCTTAGATTTTCAAATTGATCTCTGCTTTGTCTTCTACAACATGCTGTTCCAAAAATTTTAAACATTTCATGGATATTATCCTAATTTTATTCCAGAATACACATTTTTCTTGACAACACTGACAATTTACTATGTCGGATTGATTTTTGCAGGATGTTTGACAATATATGGATCTCTAAGGGTAATATAAGATCATGAATAATTAGTTCACAACTCCACACATCAGTAAAAATGTTATTATTTACAGCGAAGCCATACAAAAATGTTTTCACTCCTAGCAGCTCTAATTGCGCATCCATTTTTATTCTTTTCATATAAATATGTTTATTTTAATGATCTAAATATAGATCACTACAAAAACTATGAAGATACATCTCAAAGATTCTTCGAGACTTATGGAATAAACATTTTCATAATTGGAACAATTGTTGCTGCATATTTTGCTTTCTGTATTGCAAATGGAATTGAAATGATCAAAACGGAGCATGGTGAAAGATTGATAGATGCATCTGAAGGCAAAAAGTCAACGCTTCGAGAATTTTTGGAGAATTATGGTTTTGTTCTATACATAATTGGAATTGTTCTTTTATGTTTTGCAATTTTAAGTGCTCTTGCTAGTGTTGATGTGATTGTATCAATAATAGAACAAAACGATAAAATTCAAAGAGATAATGAAGCTAGGTTTACTACTACTACTACTATGGATTATTGGGACTGGTTTACCACTAGTACTATAGATTACTGGAAATGGTATGCTACTAGTACTAAAGAATACACAGATTATACAACTGCTTCTGAAGGATATTTTGATCAAACTTCATCATACAGTTACGATTCTTGAGGACTTCACAAGTAGTCTTTTATTTAATATGTATTACTTTAAAAATGAGTTACAACACGTAATAAAATTTATTATTTGACTTGGATGCTTCAGTTCCTTTAAATTTGACTTTTTCAATTTCGTTTGTGGAGTACTTGGATATTTCATCACAGTAAACATTTTTGGGTTTTTTTTCTTAGCAATTTTCGTTCTGACCCCCCCCCCCCCCCCCCCCCCTGCTAATATCATATTTATTGCATTGTCAGAGCATTTATTTATTAAGGATGTTTGTTCTTTTGAAAATCCTTTTTCTAGAGCTACCTAGCATACTTTCTTTAATACAGTAAATCTAAGAGTACCTATCAAATTTTGAGTCAGTGTAGCCTTTGAAACTAGGTTAAGAATTGTTAACAGAATTATCTAAAAGCTTTTCATAACTACGCATTAGATTTAATTAGAAAAACAGCTTGACTTTCTTGGAAAAATGTGGTGAAATGATAAAGTTTATTGCATTGATAATTATTTTATCACTTGAACAATAATTTATAGAATAAGAATTGACAGATAGTCCTTACATATTAGATGGAACCGTTGACAAAAATTCAATGATTCTGATCCCGTTATAAACTATAGGTCTAAGTTTGTAACGGAGGTCTAAAGAGCTTTAACAAGTTTAAATTGTCAATAGCTGATCAGCTAATGTTAATTTCTTAAATGCGCTCAAAAAACTCTACATCAATTTTTGAAAAACAAATATTTGCAATATATTCAGTATTGATGAAAGGTTTAAAGGCGTTAGTCATGTTTGATTCAGTTAAAAACAAATTTTTATTTTGTCTTCCTTTATTGGGAGGATGTTTCTTCATTGGAGCAGCTAGTTCTTTCTTTGGGGCATTCTTTTTGGTATTTACATTATACACTTTGCCATTTGAGAGGCTTGCTCATTGTCAATTGTTGTCTTACACATGTAAGTTCGTAGTTATAAATATTAAAGCATAATCCTAATTTCTATCATTTATGATTTTAATCAATTTTATAGATTTCACAATATTTCTTACATTATTGATCATTTACTATGTCGGACTTATTTTTGCTGGCTATCAAACGATGTATGGAGTAATAACAGTAAGATCATAACAAGTTGACTGCTTAAACTGCTAATTTGTAAATTTTAAAACTTTCAGCGAAAGCATACAAAAATGTTTCCTATGTTGGCAGCTCTAATTGTGCATCCAATGCTGGTATTTCCATACAATTACGTTTATGTGTTTAATTTGAATGTTATTTTCTACGACAATCAATATGCTAGCTATAGGAACACATTTCTAGCTATAAATGGTTATTGCGTCTACATTTTTGCGACATTTTTCGCTGGTTATTTTGCCTATTGCATCATAAATGGAATAAGAATGATTGAAAGCGGACAAAAGACTAAATCATCACAAAACTTTAGTATTGAAAAGATTCTGGAGAAGCTTAACTTTAAAACATTTTTCGGTCTGTTACCTTTAGAAACTGGAGCTTTAGTAATTGCAACTACATCAGTTATTCTTGGAATAACTTTTATGTTTTCGCTTCGTTTTACAAGGTCTTACTTTTATAATATATATTTGAATATTGGTAAGATAAGTTCTTAAGATTCATAAGTAAGTCTGAATTTAATTTTTTTTTCTTTTGTAGCTTATTACATTTGCATCAGTATTGTTGGCATTTTTTATGCTGCATTAGTAATCGGAGGGATTTTGATGGCACAGGGCGTTGAAAGAGTAAATGATCATTTTATAAGTTTCTATCTAAAATTAAAATATTTTTTTTTGCTTTGTTTGCAGAAAGATCCCAAAAAGATAAGGCCACTTATGGTTGCTTTATTCATTCAACCTGCATTGACGCTGTTTTTCTATGGAGCTTATGGCATTACTAGTAATTATCAGATTGACTATGATATGGCAACAGTATATGCAATCTTGACTATTCTTGATGTTTACTTTGGATTCTGCATAAAAAATCTGCTCAAAGCTGGATATGAACCAGAAGTTGTTAATCACATTTCATACGAAAGAATTGAAAATTTAGATGATGTAACATTTGATGTTTCTATGTTGACCTGATTACGTTGTAAATTGGCATTTTAATGAAATATAACATAATTAACTTAAAATTGAATAATTTTGTTGTTTGTAGTAAAAGAAATTTTCAACACTAGGTTTAACTCAAACCTAGCTTCTCCTTGCCTTTACTGTTTATAGAAATTCATCATAAATGAAAATTAATTTAGTAAATCACTGATTTTTGTTTTTGTCTTTCTTGGAAAAAGAAAATAATCTTATATCTTAATGGGGTTGATCTGATTATAATGTTAATCATTAAATTTTAAGGGTCAAAGTTAAGTTGTTCAATCGACCATAAATCTAGGAAATAAATGAGATCATCCGTTAAAAATGATAAATTCGTGTCCAAAATCAAAACGTCATTAGCAAAATACTCCTAGGAATTTAACTGTTCTTTGTCTTATCTATCAGTAGCCACTAAGACTATACTTAAAATATATATATATTTATTTCAGTCGGCTAGTAATTTTATAAGAAACAAGTCATGATAAAAAAGAATTCGGGTTGCATTTCAACGAAGACAGGATGTGTCATTATCGGAGCTTTATATACCTTTGCTGGATTGTCGCTCCTTTATTTTACATTAGTGTTGCTTCCATTTACAAAATTTGTGAAGTTGGCACCTGATGAATTGACGTGTAGGTTGTTAAATAAGATTATCGTAGTGGAACAATTCCGAAACTCAGGGACAACAAATATCAAATTCTACGAAAAGTCCTCAAGAAAATGTTTTTGGTCCAATGTTCCACTCCGGATGTTTTAAGTAGTAGCAAAAAATTTAAACCTTATTTTTGCAGGGTACATTTTATTCCTAATATTCGTATCATTATACTATGTTTGGATTAGCATTGCTGGCTTTTTACTGATATATGGAACGTTTATGGTAAATTTGACATTAAATTTGAAATTCTAAAGCTATTAAAAGAGTCCCTATTAAAATAACGAATTTTAAAATTAAGAAACTTCATTTTTCCAAACATGGGTAATTCCATGAGTGGCAAAATCGAAAAAAAAATTTTGTTAAAACACTTTAATTAATGATTATTTCTGATAAACTATTTATTTCACAAGAATAATTTCGATTATGTTATAACGGTCAAGGAAATTTGAAAATAACAAGTTGAGAAAAATTGTAAGTCGTTTTTTCAGATTCGTTTACTCATGGAATTACCCACATATCATTTTTCCGAAAAATTCTTGGAATGCATGAATGAATCATGCAATTTTATATGATTTTTGAATTCTAAAAACCCGTTGAGGATACTATGCATCAAGTTTCCAATGTTTTCTACAATAAAACTGGTTGTTCACATTAAAAGCAATTAAATCAGCTTTGTTCTTTAAAATAAGAAGACAAATTAACCATAAAATATATTTTTAACTGTTTTTAACGAAAATAAAATACTTAATAAAATCAACGGGTTTTTAAAATTTGAAAATCATATGAAATTGCATGAAGAATTTTTCGGAAAAATGATATGTTCGGAAAAATGAAGCTTCGTAAAAATGAAGTTTAGTAATTTTAAAATTCGTTATACTCCTATTAAAAACATTATGATAATTTTTCAGCGTCAACACAAAAAGATGTTTTCTTTGTTATTGACTCTGTTTTCACACAGTTTTATGATTATGGTTTGTGATATATTCTATGATTATCTCGACTATATTCCAATAAACAGTGAATGCTGGCGTACACATTATTATTGCAGATCGCAACTACAAGTATTTTTTCAATACAATTTCACTGCGATATACATAATTGGTATGTTTGTCGTAGGTCTCTTTGCTGTATGCATTATTTTTGAAATGAAAAACATTCAAAATGATCAGAATGATAGAAATGTTAGAATTTACAATGAAAAAGCTTTGCTCGATGCTGAACAATATTCTAATCATGTTTAAATGATGTATATTAGAATTTATTACGTCAATCAACTGCAGAATTGAGCATCTGCCAATTTGTTTATTTTTATTTTTCAAACATTGAACATATTACGTCTGAATTGTGATTAAAATCAAGTGATAATAAAGAAGTATCATTATCTAATTCAATTTGTTTATGAATAAAACTTACCATGAACTGAATGAACACCTTCGACTTCTTTGAAAGTTCAGCAAAAATGAAAATTTGAAAAATCCAAGGCAAATTGAGATTCAAATTTGAAATAACTGTTAACAAAGCGTGTAATTTAAAGGCAAATTGAGATTCGAATTTAAAATAACCGTTATAAAACAAACATTGGAATTCAGAATTTAACATTTTTATTAAACTTCCGAACAGGAAATAAATCGTGTGTCGTTACATCAATAGTATCCCGATTCGAATAAATTGCATGTTTTTTAAGTAAATTTCCCTAGTAACCTTATCTAAGAACAGATAATTAATTTCAAATAAATTCAACAAATTAAAGTAAATTTTTGTTTAAGGAATCGAAGAACAGAAGGGAGTCTTTTGTGGACATAAATAATATTATTTATAATTATCAGCAGTTCAATTGTTTGTGTTACTTGCTATTCAGTAAGAAATTTACTTCTTATTGATGAATTCTTCACCAACTTGGATGTTCTTCTTCAATTCAGGAATAGCCTTTGACAAAAGTTCCTGTTCGAATGCATTCAATGATCCCATACCCAAATTCTTTTCAATTCCATTCTTTCCAAGTAAAAGTGGTGTTGAGAAATATTTTGCTTCGGTGATGTCTGAACGAACATAAGCACATTCAATGACATTTTGTTCGCCTTGTAATGCACGAATAAGAGAAATTGCGAAACGAGCTCCAGCATAAGCCATTGAGAGTGTTGCTGATCCAGCACCAGCCTTTGCCTTTACAACCTCAGTTCCAGCTTCTTGGATACGTTCTGTGAGAGCCTTAATTTTGTCTGCTGAAAAGCTTACTGATGGTGTGCATTGTGAGAACAATGGCATGATTGTAACACCTGAATGTCCACCAATAACTGGAATATTGACTTTAGATGGTTCAACACCAGCGGCTTCACCAATAAAAGCATTAGCACGAACAACATCGAGTGTTGAGACACCGAAGATTCTCTTTGGATCTAAAACTCCAAGTTTAGCAAGAGCTTCGCTTGCAATTGGAACTGTCGAGTTAACTGGATTTGAGATGATACCGATTAAGGCTTTTGGGCAGGCTTTTCCACATGCATTAGCTAAATCGCGAACGATTGATGCATTTGTGTTGAATAAGTCATCACGAGTCATGCCTGGCTTACGTGGAACTCCAGCAGGAATAATAACAACATCAGCACCTGTAAATTACCAAATAATGTGTGATTATTCTTCATTAGTGCTAAAAATATTTGCACAAGTCATTTACATTGTATGCGATTATTGCATGATGTTCTATTTTTAAAGAACTAGATTATTTAACTCACCTTGTAAAGCCTTTTCCAAATTTTCAGGTCCATTAAATCCAACAACTTTGCTTCTAGTGTCAATGTGTGACAAATCAGCGGCAACTCCGGGTGTGTGTACAATATCATACAAAGACAATTCAGTGATCAAAGGACTTTGCTTCAATAACAATGATAAGGGCTGTCCAATGCCACCTGATGCACCGCAAACAGCTACTTTGACATTGTTCTATAATTAAAGGTCATTGTCATTAATGAAAATTGCACATAAAACTGCATTTTGGTGAAAATAAATCACGAATATCTATGAAACTTGGACTGTAAGTTACAGTTCAAATGGTAATTCCTCTAATCATAATCTATTGGACGAGATAATGATATCAAGTCATTGTGTAATTATGATCCTTTAATTTTTATTTGGTTGCGCAATCAATTTTTTCTTCCCATGATCAATTTAGGTGCTATAAATTTAATATCATTATTTAAACGTCACTGGATGTCACTTACTTGATGTGATGTTGAGAAGTTCTTGGCTCCTTGTTGGGCAGCGACTCTGAAGACTCTTAAGAACATGTTGATGCTGAATTAATTTGATGTATGGATGTGAAAGAGAAAATTCGAAAACAATCGGTAGCAAATAGCAAAACTCGACTAAAAGGTCCAATAAGAATGTTTGGAGGGGCTGATTACTCTTTATGTGCTGTCGACGGAATTAGCTGAAAATGTTACAACAATGAATTTTGTGTCCGAATGTCAATTGTTGTTTTCTTACTGGATCTTTCCTGGATGTTGTTATTTGAACTGGCTTTAAGAGTTCTACAGACAGTCTCAGCCAATAGCAATATGATAAATCAAAGATAAAGAAAGCTTATTTGCCGGCATTCAGAAGCGCTTTAATCACCAATTCGACCCTTACTTGTCGACGGCATTACACAATTTTCATTTCGACAGCATATACTGGAAAATTTCAATTAAAAAGTATATTTTCGCTATAATTAAGTAGTTAATCGCTATGGCATCACTTGTAAGACAAACAGCTTTCAGCATTTTAAGAAACGTCAATCTTCTCCGTACTGTAACTCCAAAGCAGCGAAGTTTTCATGCAATTTCATCCATTAATAATTTTTCGAAGGTAAATTAATCGTGTTTGCTCTCGTGATTAGAGTCTGTGAGCTGTTAATGCTGTAAACAAGCCAATAAGTTAACATCCTGTTCCAATTTTTAGGTAAATTTCCAATGCATTCAAAAGATCCAGAGCTTACAATATTCAACAAAAGATAGAAAAGAGATTGAAAGTCGTGTGTTGAAAGTCATTGCAGCATACGATAAAATTACTGCCGATAAGGTAAATAGACTCATCATTTCATGCATCCATTATCATTTCAGGTCGATTTGCATCAGCAACTATTGAATAATGTCAAGAAACGAGATTTTAGTGCTAAGGAACCTCTAACACTCAAAATGATACGCGAACGTGTTACTCTTGTCTTGAATCTATATGACAAAATTGATCCGACGAAGGTTTGTTGCTGGTGTAGGCTTGGGGAATGAATTTATAAACATCCAGAAAGTGCCTATATTTTGTTAAATTGGCTCTAGTTCTGGATCTTCAAAATATTCCCAAACTAAATCATAATAGATCCAGTTGAGACTATCAATAGAAATCTTTCATTCAATGACTTTAAATGTCCTTCAATTCTTGCATTATTCATTGATAATTCACAAAAACTCATATCCACCCACATAATCACAACCTTTTTCTTTTTTACCCCGCACAGCTCACAGTCGATTCACATTTCATCAAAGATTTGGGTCTCGATTCATTGGATCATGTTGAAATAGTTATGGCAATGGAAGATGAGTTTGGTTTTGAAATTCCTGATACTGATGCTGAGCGACTCCAAAGACCAGCCGACATAATTCAATACATTGCTGACAAAGATGATGTTTTTGAATAAGGATGGAGATTTATATCCTTAATTTCTCATTCGTTTAACGAGTCTGATGCCAGATATGCTACAAAGAATTATAATTATAGGCCCTTTAAACAAAATTTCATCAAATAATAAAGAAGATGTACTAAATTCGTAAATATTGTGTGCTTTAAGAGGTATTTTGTGGTTTTAGGTGCTGTAATTGAGGCATTGAACAGACAATTTCGGTTAAAAAATAAAAATTTCGTTAAGATTTCCGTTAAAGTTCAAATTCAAAAAAATGTTTCGTTAAAAATATTCAAATTATGAATAGCCGTTTAAATCCAAATTCATAATGACCGTTGAAACACAAATCAATGCTGACATTAATTCTTATCTGCAAACTGCATTCTCACTTGAGAAAATTGGGTCATAATGATAAGAAGCATCGAAAGCAGTGCTAATGTCCTTAAATTATTTGTAGGAATGACATTACAAAATCTCATTAGCATCAATTTAAAACATTATGTGAGGTGAACGATCTAGCACTGCTGAATTTAATGTTATTGACATTTCTCATAATGTCCAAAAAAAAGACCAAAAGCTATTGCTTAAACAGTTTTGATATCTACAACTGTTTTTTTACTGTCAACACCACTCGAGGCTCAATGTCCTTACAAAATCATTCAACAACTCAAAATTCAGCATAATAATCTATCAGCCCAAAAGAGAAACGACATGACTGTCAATAAGAAGAGAAAGTTTGAGGGTGTAAGGCACAAGGATACGGCAATGTTTATTTAAATAGATTGGTTCTACTTAATGGGATTTGCCTTCAAATGGAGGGAATTGATGATAATTTGGAGTAGGCAAGAGAATGTCCCTTGCAAGCCTCCTTTTTTGAGATTTCGTAGTCTGTTAAGTTTGCTGAGAATGCTGTGAGTCTTAGATAAAGACTTATCGTTGTTTTTTTTCGGATGAAGCCACTTATGAGATTTTAGAAGCCTTGTTTAAGTACTGAACTATCAATTGTCTATGCAATAACGAATATTTCGCACTACCACCGTCCAAACATCCATAACAAAAGAGCACCAGATGTCCATTCGCAATTTTGTAACATGTTTGATCATGTTTCGTTCCGTTGATCCTTTGTTCTCATCAGAATCAAATTGTCAAACAGCTGAGTACTAGCATTATTTACAAACATATAGGAACATATGATGCTATGTAGCATATATGTTTCGTGATTCATGCTGAAATTACATCATAATATTATGAAATAGACATGCAGGCAGGAAACTGCAGGTAAAAAATTCATGTTGGGAAAGTTCTAGAAGAAATTTATCGTTATGTTGAGCATGTATTAATCATGTATTACACTAGTGTTGGATGTAAAATGGACTAGAATATTTTTGGCGCGCTTTAAAGTTTTGAAGAGACCAAAATAATTAAATTCTGTTCTCAGAATCAAACTAGACGTTCAACAGTAAAGATCAGTGACTGGTAAGTGCTTAAACTTAATTGCAATTGTTGCTTTAATAGCTGAATTACTGAATAGTGAGTAATTAGTCAGCATTTGTGTAAATTAATCACATTTTTTCACTATTTTATTAATTTTTTCACATTTCCAGATTTATATTGACAATTAATACGAAATTCATCAATTTTAAAGACTAAGGAACAAGATACAGCTACAAACATGTCGAAGGTTACTAATGTTTTGCAAGAAAAAGAAAATATTGCTGCTAATATGGAGAAAGTTTCATTAAAAGTAAGTATTGCAAAGGTCCATCCCAAGCAAAGCTTTCAATTAACACTTTTGATGATGTCTTTGATGAATATCTTCTATATTCTAACGTAATAAGTCACTTAATCTAGATCCAGCAACTAAAATTTCAATATTTCAACTTCCAGAGCCCACACAAAGCAACAGCAGAAAGTTTAGTTCCAGCAAAACTACCAAAGTTGAAGGATTTTGACGATATTGGATCAATTGCACATAAGACGACAAATTATGCCTTCGATCCATCTATAGAGCCACTGTTACAGCCGAATCCAAGCAGATTTGTGATATTCCCAATTAAGTATCCAGATATTTGGCAGATGTACAAAAAAGTAAGCTATTTAATAGTTTATAAATCTTCTCAGTTACTAATTAATGATTGATTCTCTTCAATCTAGGCTGAAGCAAGCTTCTGGACAGTCGAAGAAGTCGATTTATCAAAAGATATGAGTGACTGGGAAAAATTAAAGGATTCTGAGCGTCACTTTATCTCACACGTATTAGCATTCTTTGCTGCATCTGACGGCATTGTAAATGAGAACTTAATTGAACGATTCAGTCAGGAAGTTCAAGTAACAGAAGCTCGATTCTTTTATGGATTCCAAATTGCTATGGAAAATGTACACTCAGAGATGTACTCGATTCTAATTGAAACTTATATCCGTGATGCAAAGCAGCGTGACTTCTTATTCAATGCTATTGAGACTTTACCGTGCGTAAAGAAAAAGGCAGACTGGGCCTTAAATTGGATATCCAGTAAGCATGCAAACTTTGGTGAACGAGTTATTGCCTTTGCTGCTGTCGAGGGGATTTTCTTTAGTGGAAGCTTTGCAGCAATCTTTTGGATTAAGAAGCGTGGATTAATGCCAGGTTTGACATTTTCAAATGAACTTATTTCGAGAGACGAAGGACTTCATCGTGACTTTGCATGCTTAATGTACAAACATCTTATTCAGAAGCCACCAAAAGAACGTGTTGTTGAAATTATCACAGAGGCTGTAAAGATTGAAAAGGAATTTTTGACTGACGCACTTCCAGTAAAGATGTTGGGCATGAATTGTGATTTAATGTCTGAATACATTGAATTTGTAGCCGATCATTTATTAGGCGAATTGGGACTTGACAAGGTCTATAATACCAAAAATCCATTCTCATTTATGGAATTAATTTCACTTGAGGGCAAGACTAACTTCTTTGAACGAAAGGTTGGCGAATATCAAAAGAGTGGAGTCATGTCGAGTCGTCAGGATCAAGTTTTCACATTGGATGCTGATTTCTAGTGACTGTAATTCAGTTCATTGAATCAAAGGAATATCAATTTTACGTATAATATGTAGCTTTAAAGGTTTGACTATTTTTTATGATAGACTAAATTGATCTTTTTGAAATGTCAACAATCAAATTTTGTATTAGAACTCTAAGATAAAGAATATATAAGGTAGATTTATTAAAGGACCGTAAGGACACAAGAATTGTTGGGTTTATTGATGTTTTAGTGATCAAGGATGCAACAGAACTAGAATCTCCAAAATAGAAACCAATTGAGAATCCTTAAATCCACTTTCCACGATAGTATGACAATTTGATACATTAATGCATGAATTAAGCCTTAAAAAGACATTGACATTGTCTATTCATTAAAAATGTACCAAAATATTAGTCAATGTCCAAAATTAAATGCCATTAAGTCCTTAAAATAATTCAGTCAGACATATTCATTCACTTTAATGCTAATCACATCACACAAGCATTAACATTTTCAAGTATATGTCCTAATTATGCAAGCATTTACGTGTAGCTTGTTGTTTTTGCCTCGATAAAGATTAGCACTAATGACATTAACAGACTTTCTTTCCCATTTCCAGTTGACCACTTTTTTCCGGATGTCATGTGAAATTTACAAAGGGGATCGTTCACTTATGACGTCCAGAATTAACGGTCATTATTCAAAAAAGAGCAATGGATTTCCAGGAATTTCTATTGTTCTTTTCTAGCTGACCCCCCCCCCCCCCCCCTTTGAACGTCATATAAGAACGGCCCCAAGACTATTTAAAGCATAAACGATATGTCGTTGACGAAAAGGATATTTTGGTTAACAGGCAAGACCCCCCCGCCCCCTGGACGTCATAAAAGAACAGCCCCAAGACTACTTAAAGCATAAACGATGTGTCGGCGATGAAAAAGGATATTTTGGTTAACAGGCAAGACAATTTATATCGAACAAAGGTCGGTTCTGTTCAAGGTCATTGATTTTCATTACATCTACATCCCAATTTTTGAATGGGTGCACATAAGTCGACGGGTGGCATGAAGCTTCTCAGAAGTCCTCATTATTTTAATCGCCATGAATTTGTCAATGAAATTCAACCAATTTTACGATAGATTGAATCGAATTAGGCAGCAAATTGTATGGGATTCATACTGGAGAATTATGAGAGAACATTACGATTATGCTGTGTGAATTAGTGGAGATGGCAAGCGATTTTGTAGCACCATTGTTAGTAGCGATTACATTTACAGACTTTTTCTTTTTATGCGAACGGCTATATAAGCAGTATGCGTAAGTTTTTATTAGCTTTTAAATGATTATTCCACTTTCCTTCCATTTTTACATGCTATGCTGAAAAATCATAAATGTAGAGCTGATTATGACACATTCGGGAGGATTCAGATAAGCTTGCTTGGATTATTCTTCCTCCTACGAAGCTTCACGCTGTTTCATTACTGTTCGAAAGTAAATGTTGATGCTCTTAAGCCATTGGAAATCTTAGAAGATGCGCCACTGAGAAATTGGACAGTCGATGAAGGTTTTTATATTTTTTAAAGCGATAAAGTTTGTTTTTGGGGATGTTGATGAGTTACGTCCATCGAAAAAATGAGATTTCTACACAATATACTCAACTCCAATCCCAATCCTTAATGAATTCTAATCAATTGACTTTAAGCTCTAAATATAAGACGTTATTTATGAACGACCCCATCCCATTTCTCCGAATTAAGCCAACAATCTCTTGCTAACACCCTCCTGCAAAAGAATTGCTAAATATAGCAACATCCAATAATCTCCCATTCAATTTAGTTCCAGCGATTGGTATCCAAAGTTGAGAATCACAATCGAGGATTTTCTGGTTTAAACTTATTCTTAATCACCAAAGGATTTATGATTTTCTTCATCGGAACAGTCACGACTTATCAGCTTGTTATCTTACAAAATATTAACACGATACGTCAAGTACAGAATGTCAAAGCAAGCGAATGTTGAACTAAAGTTTAAATACATGTACTTTAAGTCTAATCCATATAATTTGAATTTAACTAAATTGTTTATTCATATCGTACGTGTGACTTGTCATTGCACATAAAATGCAAGAATAAAGTGTAAAGCATTGAATTTGTGAGCACACAAAATTGTCGTTGCATGTCAACATGAATACAAATTTTACTTTTTTTTTATGTGAGGATAAAGTTTTGTTGGATTGAGTTTGAGTTGGCATTATGACTTGGTGCTGTGTTTTTGTGCATTTAGGAGACTTTTGAATTATTGATTCTTAAAAGTACCTTTGTGCTGATTTGTTAATATTATAGAGGTTAGAAACTAGGGACAGGTTTTATGCATAAACTTTAGATTCCAGTTAAGAAGTGTAGATATGGCTCGAAGATAATATCTGTAGTAGACATGCCTGAGCGTAGGGCTTGCGTTGAAACTGGTTATATGTGTATGACAGATAGCCGAAGTGTGATAAGTACCTTGGTTCCCAAGTGGTAGGGATCTCTGATCGAGTGGTCAGAGATCGCCTCTTTTGAGGTCGTGGGTTCGATACCAATCGAATCCAACTTGTTTTACATTAGTATACACATAAAGCAGTTGTAGGGCGATCTACAATAAGTATTGGAAATAAGATTTGCTCGTAAAAGATAATGATCTTGAGGAGCGAATCTGTGTTCGAAGATTGATCACAAACCGTGTTGGTTTAAAAAGTTAAACTTAGATGAGATTAATAGAAGAGAACTTTACCCAGAAGAGAAGCCAAAGAGTACTAGAAAGTCCAGTCTAGATTCTTGCTAAACCCGATCAACTTAACAGATTAGAATGAAATGCGTCCTAACCCCAAATATACATCATACCTTCTCTCAAACTCACATCATTGTACATAAAAATGAAAATAAAAAAATTATATATCCTCTCACTCCCTACATCTTCATTAAAATGTTGACTATAAAACTAACAAGATGTGGTGGTACAACGAGCTGAGCGATGAGAGCGATGACGAATATTTATATTGTGCAAATTTAAGCGATGAGGATTATGAAAAATCATTTTATTGTGCTATAAAGCCAGGTAGGAGAGAAATTAAAAGTTCTTAAGCTTTTGAGCGATTATTTCGATATAAAAAATGTTTTAATGATTCACAGCTATAAATGTTGGAAAAATTTTTGGCTTGTTTCCCATCAACATAAATTCAAAGCAACCTCTCGACATAACTTTTAAGTGGAAGAATTATCGCACAGTTATATCCATCATTTTTATATTATGGGCTTCTATGACCGCGATATTCACATTCAAAAATCAAACGGAAGCTGGACCATTAACACCTTCAAATGTGGTTGGAATCATATTTTTTACAATTTGTACCTTAATTTCAATTTTGTTCTTCAAAAAGGCATTGGAACTTCGGAAGTTGTTGGCAATTTGGTGGAAAGTTGAGCGGATATTCCTGTGTGAGAAGTATGACTTCCCTGAGAAGCGATGGACATTGAAAAAGCGACTCAAAGTGTGCCTTTTTGTATGTCTAATATTTGGACTTTTGGAACATCTGTTCTATTTATCATCAGAAATGTACAAATTTAGTTTCGAAGTCAAGTATTGCAATATTACAAACGTCGACTATGTTGAAATGTTCATCACCAAACATCTTGGATTCGTCATTTTGAACCTTCCAATACAATATAATCACCTCCTTGGATTAATTGCTGAATATTTCAACTTTTCTCTTACATTCTGGTGGAACTATCTCGATCTGTTCATCATTCTTACTTCGATGGCACTTTCGGAACTGTTTGAAAAAATTGTCTATCGGATGGAATGCCTTAAAACAGTTTCGTTAAGTGATACAACTTGGGCTGAATTGAGAGAACATCATGTTGAAGTTTCAGATTTGGTTGTTCATGTGAATAAGGTGTTTGGAACGGCATTCATACTTGCATGTTGTAATGATGGATACTTTATTCTTATCCAAATGCTGAATATCACAACGTAAGTTGAAGATTTGGATTATATTCTTTCTAGATATTAGAATGTTCTAAAATTAGATCTTGTCACTGTTGTCAACAGATTGTTTTTGATGTATAATTTTACAAACAATGACTTTGCTGGATTTTAATTCTTAAGCATGAATAATTGAAATTTTAGTGTTTTATAGACTGAAAGTTATTATTGAGGTCACGAATGCTACACACAATTTCTGTTTATCAGTAGTTGGACTTTCATTAAGTTAAACTCCGTCAAATTAACGCAAATATTTTGTTTAATTCCAGTTCATTGCCATTTCTTATCAGCGTCATTTACTTCTGGTTTTCACTTTTATACTTAATCGCACGAGCAACAGTAATGATAACATTTGCTGCAAAAGTATATGAAAATGCTCGAGAACCTCTAAGCATAATCAGAGGCATATCTTCAGACGCTTGGTGTGCAGAACTACAAAGATTCTTCGATCAAATTAAGTTTGAATCTTATTCAAATTCGCTGAGTGGCAAAAATTTCTTCTTTATGAATAAGCGACTTTTATTTTCAATTGCTGGTGCTTTGGTGACTTATGAGCTTGTGATGATACAATTTGATGGGAAGAAGATAACATGGCAAGATGTGATTGATTGCAAAGCATCAACTTGAGCTGCAGACTTAATTTGTTGAAATTTTTATTGAAAAATTAAAACTTTTTAAAATAAATTTTCTTATCAGTTCTTTTCAATCTTGAATAGCAAGTTGCTCTAGTTTTTTCATAATTTAGAAATCCTCACACTTCCTTTCATCCTTAAATGGTCGTTAATTTTTTTAATGGTCTTCTTCTTTACCTTTTTTATCACTGTATCATCAATTTTCTTCATTCTGCTGAAGATGCTTAGGTAGGAGGTGCCCGAGCTATACATGAGCATCAAATCTTGATTTTTTTAAGGTTAGGAGGTCAATCAGAAGCAGTTTTGCAAATGTAGATCTATGTCTACACTAGATGAAGAATGTAGATTCTTCAATAGTTTTTGTCTAGCTAAGAAACTTTCTTCATAAAGATCGATTCTACATGAAGATAGAAAATCTAATCTACACAAAGATTATTTCTACATAAAGATTCTGTCTACATAAAGATTCGATGTAGATGTCTACAATACTACTTTTTTTCCAGGTCTACATCAGAGAAGAATGTAGAATTGTAGACATCTACATCGAATCTTTATGTAGACAGATTCTTTATGTAGAAATAATCTTTGTGTAGATTAGATTTTCTATCTTCATGTAGAATCGATCTTTATGAAGAAATTTCTGTCTCAGAATTTATCTGATCCAGACAAATGGCCAGAATGCAACACTGATCAGAAGCTCCAGTCTCGACCTTTAATGTCTTAATAGGTTCACTATAAGTCTTAAGAAGTAGCTTCATCAACACTCCAACAACCTCATTGAATAAATTCAATCTATTTAAAGTATAAGCTTCTCGGGATACTTAAAAAGGAAGCAAAATTAAAAGGACAGTAAGCAGGTGCTTCCAACAATCAGCAACTTTCGAGATAAAAAAAATTTGCTTGATGAGAAAATTATACAAAATTGTGCTGTAAAATTAAATGTGTTCATTGACGCTCTGACAAATGAAATGGAAGATAGAAATGAGTGCAAAGGTTGTAATGGAATTTTCGACCTAATTTTGCCGTTCAACTGTTTGCTTAGAGCGAGAAAAGGATAGGCTGTAAAATTAAATGTGTTCATTGACGCTCTGACAAATGAAATGGAAGATAGAAATGAGTGCAAAGGTTGTAATGGAATTTTCGACCTAATTTTGCCGTTCAACTGTTTGCTTAGAGCGAGAAAAGGATAGGAAGATGAAATGTGCAGAAACAAGCGATATTCATTAAAGGTAATGGATTGAAGCTGATGTGGAATGAGTCTTTGTGAATAGAACATTAAACAAAACAAATTGAAAAGTCAACAGTTTTCAACGCGATGCATGTCAAGGTTGATGTGCTAGATGAAGGTAAATTTAAGGATTTAGATGGAGAACGATTGAAATTCTAGAGGAATGGAGAAATTTTAAAGATTTTTTGTTGAATTTAATTTGAAATTTAATTTTGTTTTGAACACTTTAGATTCATTGTTCAAAGTTATGCTCAATACAATCATCATTTGTTTACAAATAATCAGGAAATTTAGTATATTGCATTCTTTGATTCAATATGTGCTCTCAAAATCTTGTTTCTAGTCGTAAATCCCAAAAATAGCCTCCACAACATTCCGAACCTTATCAGCATTAACAAAAAAATTTAGTTGATTGAACATAAACTCAAAAATGTTCATCATCACTATAAAACTTCACTTTCCATTCTACAATTCACTGCAACAAAATCTCCAAACAGTCAAATCTGCAACAACAAAATCTTCATCCATTTGTTGATTTATATCTGATTGAAAACGAAACTACTCATTTTCAGAGCATATGGAAGAAGTAAATCAAATCTATAAACAGCAACATTCATGCCGAGATTCAACAGAGAATGTAAAAAAAACTTTTATAAGAGAAAAAGAAAAAAGAAATAATTTTCGTGATATGCATGTAACACAGTAGATAAGTCTAGGTCTGTATTTTCCACACATCATCATCAATGACATTAAAGCACACATCCTCATTCTCTCGAATTACGTTTTCTCGATTGGAAAAATTGATTTCCGATTCGATCGTTAAATTTTTCCTCTTCTTACCGCTTTTTTTTCTTTTACATTCTTTTCACAATTCATTGAAAGTCGTAAAAAAGTTTTTTTTATGGCACTGCTCTTGTTGGAGCGTACGAAATTCCATTCATTTGAGTTTTGTTCTTGCTCAGCAGACAAAATAAAATGTCTGAAAAATGTTTGATTACAAATAATTGAAATAATAATCAACAGTTTATGATTTTGATGGCGTTGAGTGCTATCAAACCTTTTACAGGAGGATGGAAGAGCTTTAGCGATTTGGATTGAGCTGCATTGCTGACTATCATCCCTAAACTTTTTCACTCCTAAACCGTTGATAGTTGCATCGATAAAGCAACTTTAAATGTTTGATCGTTAACATACCAAACCATAACAGCCATACATCCAGCAAAACAAAACAAATTTTAATGTCAAGTCCAATTCACATCCACAAATCGAAGACAACTTTAATTGTGCCATAAAAATTCTTACCTTCTGTTTATTGCCGTTTTGCACTTGTAAAAACAATAAACAACAATAACAGAAAAAGGCACAGACGAGGGCAACAATTTTAGGATTTAAAAACACAGTGAAGCAGGTAAAGTGGTGCTATAAAGTGTGCGCTTTTTTTATTTGCAATAATTTCTTCTTATGATGTAAATGATTCTTATTTAATCGCTCCCATTGCTCGTAATGGACTCGTTTATTTTAATGGTTTCATTTTATTTGCGTATAAGCTATAAACAAATTTCGTCTCTCGATTGCTGGAATGTCTCTCGATAAGATGAAGAAAAAGTATTGATAATTAGCCGAATGACATCATCATTGCTGTTTTATTATTCGCCAAGCATGGATCCCAATCTGAAATCTGATTTGGTTTATGGAATTAATTAAGAATGGCTTGAGAATAATTTAATTACAGGCAGCTTACATTGTCATCTTGATGGAATTGGATTAACACTAGCTCGTATGTTCTGGAAGAGATATAATTGAGGTTAACAATGTAAATATATAGCATATGTCAAGCATGAAGGTGTAGGTGGAAGTTTGTTTGCTTAACAGGTGTGGGAACTTCTAAAAATTGAGCAATTGGCTCTGCAAACATTGTGTTTGCTTACTAAACTCTCAACCCAGATCTAAAAGCACTTATTTCAACTGTACTTGTTTCTCAAAATAACAAAAAATCAAATAAAAGCTATATCGACAGTTTCAAAACAAAATCAAAAGCTACATCGCACATAAAACTTTAAAATAAAATCCATAAGCTGAAAAGCAATAAGAAATTCCTTCGAAATGGAAATCAATAAGAAAATTCCTTACACAATCGTCCCAGCAACAGATAATACAAGTTTTCGTGTCAGATAAAAGAATTTCATTCCAGATAATGCAATTGTATCGTGTGCAACTTCCTCATTGAATCTTTTCACTTCAACACACCAGTCTTCACGACAAACGGATCGAAAAACTTCGAGTGGCTTCTTCGATGCATCATTGATGCCAGCTGAATATAGAGACACTGCTAATGTTCTTCCAATTAGATAAGATAATGATATCCAGAAGTAAAATGTATGAGCAAATGTTGGTTTTTGGCTGGAAGGGATGATAATTTGAGATTTTATTTCATTTATTGTTCAGAAAGTGTGTCATTGCTTAGTTCAGTACCCCTTTAAGTTGACTACACTGAGTTTGGTATCCCTTGCATATTATTAATTAGTTGAATATCCATTTAAGTCAATTATACATAATCTGATACCCCTTGAATCTACTTTAGTGCCCCTTGAAGTAAATTACACTTAGTTTAGTACCCCTTTAGTTTCTAAATGCACCGATTTATGCTAAATTAAACTTACTCTAAACTTCTCAAAAGTTGCACGCAAATGAAGAATAAATTATTAGAAATTGATATCAAAACAATTTTAGACACCGCCTTGTCCACAACGGAAATCAATCCAACAACTTCTCGATAATATACTCGAAACTCAGTCCAATACTCTGGTCTAATTCCTCGCTTTCCCTTCATCTTTCGCAATTCATCATTCAGTTGATCAAATTTAGACGTTAATCCAATGCTAATGATGATGACAAACAAGTCTGTGTAGCTCCATGCAAACGTCAAAATAATGTTAAGGAATTTTGTCAATGAACTCAACCAACCGCTGTACGGAAAAATGAGCCATACTTGTGGATAATTTCGAACGAAAAATGCCTTAATGGGATCCTTTATCGTTGGACAATTGTTTGCGCCATGTGCTCCAACTGTTATCGATAAAAGATGCTCACCTAAATGCGATGATGAGGAAAAGAAAACAGGAAATGATTAAACGGATCATGCGGAAGTGCCGCATAATCTTATGACAAAATATCCACAAAATTTGCGGAATATAAATTGATAAAAATCGACCGAGCATTTCTAAAGAACCATTAGTCTTAATTGTTTGTTGGCAAAAAAGAGGCCAAATGCCACAAGTTAATGTAGACAGGCTCGTGACTGCAGATCATTAACCGTGACTTGCCAGTAAGACGTGCTTGAAGCACTTAATTGAATGACACGTCTGTCAATGAAGAATTATAAGCTAAACATGAAGAGATTTGGAGGTCAAAAATGATTTTTTTTTCCAGGAAGGAGTGGATAGATTTAAGGATTATGACTTAGTTGTAGATATTTTGATTAAGAATTTGAAAGATTTTATTACCAGAATGACTGTGCATTAATGATACAAAAAAAACTATTATTTTTACTTCATAATAACATAGTTCAGTACCCCTTTGGGTTATGTATGGATATTTTGATACCCCTTCGGTCAGACTACTTAGTTTAGTATTCCTTTGAATTACCTGCCCTTAGTTTGACACCCCGTGGATTAAACTATTTAGTTCAGGACCCCTTTAAGTTAAATAAACATAGTTTGACATCCCTTGTCCAGCATTACGCATTTTAATAAAACTCATAAATCGAAATACTTACTCATTGAGCTGAACAGAATCACCAGTGAAGCCATTTTTATCTGATATGCCATCTTCTGTTTATAAAATTGATATTTCAGCTGCGGTAAACATTTTTCGACTCTATACCAACTGTTCATCAGCATAGGCCACTTCCTTCCCAAATCAAGGAAACAAATTAAAGCAATTAAATTCGTGAACTCAAAGGTAAAATTTATGAGCTTTCCAAATTCCAATTTCGAGGTTGCAATCCAATGAACAGTAAGACTGAGACTCAGCATGCATCCAACAATGTAGATTACAGAAAAAAGGAATCGAAATGAAAGAATTTTGAAGCGTAATTGAGAAGGATTTTTTGCTTTGATTCCATGAACAGGCATGATACCAAACAGCTGTGCAACAGCAAGGATGCTCCCAACAGCTTCATGAAATGTTCCATCGTACATATAGTCATCTCTCGTGCCACGTGTAGGCAAATGAAATTTAATCGCATTGAAATTTATTGATGGAAATTTTACTGTGGAAAAAAAAGAATAATGAAATGATTGGAAATACATTGTCAATAATGCCTACCTGACTGTACGCGTATGCGTTTGACATTTTCTTTTGTGTAAAAAATTGTCTCGGTTATTCTCTTCTTTAGTGTCATAGCTGAGTGTTGAAATCAGAATGACATGAATTTAAGCGTGCTTTACACACGTACTTCATGTCACTAAAGCTACAGTTTACAACATTAAATGACAATTAAGTGCAACTGCAAACATTCTCATGCTGTAAACTTTTTTCAAATTAAATATTTAAACGAGACTTCACAAAATAAAATGTGTCACAGAATGTTGACTGCGCTGTGGATTATAGCTTTTTACATAAATTCTTTTGTAAATATGACTTTTATTTCTCTACGGTAATTAATGAAATCGTGAGCACAAAAGTGTTTAAAGCGTACAAGTTGTCAAATTTCCCGCCTTAATTTCACGGTCATAAAATTGCACCAGAACCAGCTCATAAGTCCTAATAAATAGAATAATGTGTTTTGGCTTCTGTCATTGATTAATGAGCGAATAATTTTAATTAATATAGTCTTACACTATTGTTCCAGTAAGCTAAGAAATTGATTAGAAAGAAGGAAATAAGAATGAGAGTTAAAAAGTTTTTGATGATGTTGAGTAAAGCGCATTTTTTTGCAAATAAATTAATTTGATATTTGGGACAGTGTTTGATCCCAGAGTCATAGGTGCAGCCTCTTATTGAGGAATAATGTCCTTTAAAAATTAAAAATACCAAAAAATAATCCCCGAATGTAATGGTTTGGTCTAAGAGGGGTCTCATTAGCTTAGGCTAGGATCTGAAACCATCTTGGACCCTCTTTTTCTACCATTCTGAGATATTTGATCTGAGATTCACATTTAAACAACTTTAAGCTACCATTAAAGCCAAACTTAGTCAACATTACTCTTTTCATAAATAATGCAATAAATAATCGACCTAAGATTAACAGAATTAAAATAAATTACAGTCAATATAATTTGCTTTGTCATCCAAAAGAGTCCCATGCCATTTAATGCAATCGTCGTTGACGAAAGAAAGTTCTGAAAGGCTTTCAAGTCTGATAAATTACTTCCGGTTGATACTTCGTGCAGAATCTTTGTTGTTCTTGATGATTCGTCATTAATCTTCGAGCAAAAATAGCAAACGGCAAGCGTTCGTGTGCAGAGGATTAGTAAGAGAATCCATGGGACTAGACTTTCGATGCTCTTGACTGAAATGCTTTTTAATGATCATGAGTCATGATTTTAAATTAAATTAAATTTTGTAATTAAAAATTACTTAAAATTCAGCAGCAATGTGAAGCATATGAAGTACAAATTCATACCAAATGAGAGTAAAATGTTTGGTCCGAGAAGTTTACTTGTCACAAGCACATGCTCATGTAATTTCCTATACAGTGAAAAGTGTTGATTCCAAAAAGTTTTTGATGTGTTCTGAAAGGATGTTGAGTGTTAGGAGAGTGCAGAATTGAGAGATAGTGCTGACTGTTCTCCCAACTCTGACTTGTTGAGAGCCAGTGATTAATATAGAGTAATTAGTGACTAATGCAGAGTTGTGTCTGGTTAGATCCTCAAAAAGGAACCATTGAGACACAAACTTCCATCATTCAGTACCAGAAAGCCAACCCTGATCAGCACTTACCACAAAAGCTTACAATTTTTATACGCACCGTTGCATTTAAAAGAAATTTTTCATTTAATTGTTCAAAATCTCTATGCAATATAATCCCAATGCACATGATGAATAAGTCATTGAAGCACCAGGCAAATGTACAGCAAAAGTCAACAAAACAAAAATAAAATCCAAATGCGATGTTGTAAGGAACAACTTTGAATTGTTCTGCATATGAAATCTCGAAAATTCTCTGGTCAAAGCTTTTTAGATGTGCATCGTCAGCACATCCTGTGATGATTGTTCCATTGAAAAGTTGAAGGATGAAACTTATGAGAGATAGTAACAAAAAGCTGTAGAACCATTTAAAAATTTTACTATTTATAGCTTTTTGTTTTATATCCACAATAAACAATTGATGGAAATAAGTATTCAATTTGTTCCAGTTGCTGTAAAACTTTTTCCATTTTCGAGATACGAATATGAAATTTAAGTAGATGAGGAGGCTGAAGTTGTAGTAGACGAAAAAGCCTAGAACAAAGAAATGTGAATTTTTTTATATTTTTAATCTAAGTCATTTAATAGCTCACTTATTTTAGTATGAACATTTTTATCTCGAATTTGCGAGTAGATTGCGATCGTAATCGTGCTAATTATTTTAACAATGATAATTATTGAATAAAAGAATTGAAAGCTTTTCATTTCAAAAGCCCATTCAGCCTGCTTATTCCGTCTAGATAATGATAACAATCCAAGTATTTTTCCCATAGCAATGACTATAATGAGATTATTTTCAATCAAATATAAAAATTTTAATTTTATCACAAAAACTTACTTCTTGTAATCCTCGGAGGGATTTTGTAGCTTGTGCTTTTAATTTTCTTATAAGCACTGCCAAATTCCTCTACAAAAATTAAGCATATTAGTAGTGCTGAAATTGTTCAATTTAAAGGATTAAAAATCTTCTACTTCTCCAAAATTCTTCATCATCCATTCCTTCACAACTAAGTCTCACGAATGTAAATGCGATGACTGATTTTCATTCACAATATTTTATTATGTATCTAAGCGTACATCCCACCAGATTGTATGATTCAGTGAATTCTTTTGAATGAGCGTAATACCATATCACTTAATACATAATTCATTTCCATTTCTTTTACAATTCTTGCATGCATGAATGGAAATTCTTGTCTCTTCCTCTTCTCGATATGTCTCCTGCTATAAAAAAAATTATTTAAATGTAATATGCAAATTGATGAACAAAATTACATGAGTAATATGTCGATTGAATTAGAAATTTGATGCAGAATTGACAGATGGTGATGTGTGGGAGGCAGAAGAGTCTTTGTGATCTAGAAATTCGGGAAAATGTTGGATTTTAAGGCATTCAAATAGGTTCAAACTTTTTTTTTTCAGGAAAGCAGTTCTAGATGAGTATCTTGAAATTTTTTCGAAAAAAACAGGACATAGAGTAAAACTCGAAAATTAACGGAAATTTTCATGAAAAAAATACAGGACCAAGAACAAAATTTAAAAATTTATACAGGACAGTCTTGAAAAATACAGAACTGTCCGTTGAAAAATTACGCAGATGGTCACCCTAGTCAGAACTGATTAAATCTCATCAAAAACTGATCAAAAACTATCAAAATTGATCAATTTTGCAACCTTTCGTTTGCGTTGGGCCGTCGTTATTAATCCAGTCCTGTTTTTATGTTGCTTTCTTTGTCCATGTTGATTTCGGGAATGGTTGGTTATAAACCTCAACATCGCCTGAATGTGGGGCTGACACCCTACAGACGAGGTGGTTTGGATAGGCTTTTAATCTATCTCTTAAAGTACTTATCCCAGTACAAGGCTCGGTCGCTGGCGTTGCATTTAGTGGTATCAAGGGATACCACGAGAAGGTATGCACTTGACATTTGGTCAGCATCGGAATCAGACTTCGGCTTTCCCAATCCCTCAATTTTTTTTTTGTAACCTTAGTTTAGTTTAAATTCGTGATTCTAACGCAGATGAAGTAATTCAGTTAAGAATTTAATAATTTTCTGGATTTATCACAATTTTTCATTCCCCTCAGACCACAAAATGCAATGAAAATTTACATTCGTCAGTTACGCTAATGATTCAAATAAAATTGAAAAATAATAAGCATGAAGTGAGACTTTAACTGAATAATAAATGAGCTTTGATGTATTCTTATTAATAAAAATGCTTCTGAGTTCTTTCTGTCAGCATTAACCTTTCTCCTGGATGTCCTTTTCTGGGTTATAATTTATTTTTATTTCCTTTTCCCATTATTTATGTTTCCTACCTTAAAAAATGCTACTTCTCAAGCATAATAGTTTATAAAAAAAGGAAGTGAAAACATAAGAACAGAAATTTTTCTTCCCCAAGCAGTCAATAAAAGCTCGCCTGTCTAAATAAAGAAAAAGTTCCTTCTTGAAAAGGTTCATAAAATAAGATTTAATGTTATTAAAGTCCTTTTAGGAAAGGAATCACAGTCGACACGTGAAGTCTGTCTTATGAAAGGAATAAAATTAAATTTATGATAATTTTTCCTCAAGAAGACTCTATTTTTGGAAATATTTGTGCATTTTTTATGAGACGGATGTTGTCTGGTAGGAAGATACTTAAGAATTTGGTATCGATTCGCTTGTGTTTTTGTAATCAAATCATTCCAGACTTGATTTGGCCAAGGATTTAGAGAATAATCTTATTTGAGACCGATTTGAGGTAGATATCTTGGATCTTTATACTCTCCAAGGTTTTTGACTTCCAATTGAACTGAAGGAAGCTAAATAGGCTCAAATATTTACAATTTCTCATGAAAATTCAACTTAATAACTGTAGTTAACCAACATTCAATTCAAGTCTGATTCACAAAATCTATACAAACCAAAAAATAAATAAATTCAGCACAACCGAAGTGGAAAGTAAGTGGAAATAAAAATCTGTTTTTAATGGTTATCTGGGTTAGTATGTTATCACCATTTTTTTGTTTCCATTCCATTTCAAACATTTCTTCAATTCTTCCATAACATTGACTTTAAATTCAATGAAGAAGCACATCCGAAGATATTTTATTTCCACAGAGTAGAAGGATCTTGATTGAAAAGGAAAATTGATACTTTTAGATTAAACGATAAAAAAAAATAACAATCAATAATTCATTCAGGATTCACATTTTATGAAAGGATAGTGTGAAAATAGAAATCAATAAGTCAGGATGATGATGGAATTAATTTTCTTTTAACATTATTTATTTATAAGGTGAGAGATTGTTGTGATTCTTGTCTGTTTGTTGTTAGATATTAATTTCATTGGAAAATTGATGTCAAGTCTTGAGTGAATGATAAATAAAGTTATTGATAGGTTGCAGAAGAATAATATGGGTCAGGAGAAGCTTAACGTCAGTCAATTGTCGAGTTTTTCTGCAATTTGTTGATCATATTGAATCTAATGAAATGCTATTTATATGTCAAC